ATGTTCTCATATTCAATATTTATAACTTTATTATTAAAAAAAAAAAAGTATTATATAAAATTGTGAAGTGTAAATTATTTATTACTTCTACGTCATTTAGTGTTCATATAAAACAATAAATATTATATTTTCATGCATTTTGCGTAGGTGGTTAGTTAAAAATTAATTCTCTAGACTAAGGAGTGTTTAATTTAATACTCCCATCCATCACATATTATTGTTAAATGTATCATTGTAAATGAACTTACCTAATCAAATACATTTAAAAAATTTTAAAAATACAAAAACAATAGAAGTTACAACTTACAAGCTATTAAAGGTAACAACGGTATTAATTTGATTAATACCAAAACAAACAAACAATAACAGGCGTTTGGTTGGAAGAAAGGAATTAGAGGGGAAAGAAATTGTAATTTCGTGGGAAAAGAATAAAGTGGGATTTAAATTACATTGTTTGGTAGGAAGGAATGGGTGATGGAAAATTGAGAGGGAAGAAGTGAATAAATACCAAAATGCCTTTATATAATATTAATATAATAATGATAATGAGAGTAAAGTGGTAATTTATAATGGAATTGCAATTCCGGTTTGAGGGAATTGCAATTCCCTATAATTCCATGCATGGAATTTAGTAGGTATGGAATTGCAATTCCATCTTACCAAACACCCCATAAATGTAAGAAACGAGAACAAAGATTGATGAAATATGGGATGTAGTGACTCTCCCATATGGGATGTTATGAGATTGAGCCTCAGTGGAGGTGTTATTGACTCTTTGTGCTTCAATAGGTTGAGAGAGTATGTTTGAACAGATATTACAATGTGATAGAGTCAATAGCATTCAAAAAAAAAAAGATTTATTAAATATAATTGCATGAAAAAAAAATGTTGTACATAAATACATAATACATAGTGGAATTCAATACAAGTGAAAGCATTGCTGTTCATATTATACGTCTCTAACTATTTATATAAGTCCTATATATCATACACAATTATTTTCCGTGCCACTCGAACTGTTGGTCCTAAATCTTATATTATATGCAAAAGGCTTTTCAGCGATCTACTCTAAATAATCCATCTGTCTCCTCCACTTATATTAAGGGGGTAGACGTATTTTTGGGGAACACATTTGATGGTTTTATCATAACCAAATCTATCATAAATCCAGGGCCGTTCCAATCAAAATTGGGGTCCTGTGCAATATCTTAATTTGGACCCCTTTTTCAAGTAATTTTTATATATAAATAATAGTTGTTCAAAAAGTTGTGTCTAAAATTCAAAATATAAATATTTTGAAAAATGCTTATGAAAATCTTCTAGAGAATTTATCTTATGTAAAATGCTGATGAAAATCTTGTAGAGAATTTATCTTTTTTAGTACCTTTATTTATTGATAAATATCTTTTAGGACCATCTTTTACAAGAATATCTATTAATTTAGAATCAAGGACATCCCAATTTCTTAGATTATATATATCAAATAAAAGCGAATCATTTGGTTTATCACCGTTGCCAACATCATCTAATGAATTTTTCAACAGCTCCTTTTCAAGATTGAGTTAGTTGCCCAATTCTTTTTTTCTTTTTACGCTTTTCAAACCCAGATGGATATTTTCTAGAAGACATAAAATACTAAGAAAAATAAAAAATTATTTAGAAACTCTACGAATAAATAATTAATCAAGAAACGAATTCTTGAATATATTATTCTGAAATCAGAATTATTAAGTAATGTAAATAACACAATAAACAAGAATTGTAAAACAATACGTAATTTTAGTTACCTGTTAAGAGAATTGAAGAACTTTAAAGTTTGTATAAAAAAAAAAGAATTGAAAAATCAATAGCATACGAACTGAATCTATCGTCTTTGCGTCAATACATTAAATTGTACTGTCTGGACAAAGAACAAAATTAAATTGTGTGATGTCTGCAAATTGCCATCTACGCTAACTTATTGACTAAATTGAGAATTCCAAATTGGCAAATTTGATTTGCAATTTTGCATAACCAGTAACTCACAAACAACACTATTCAAATACTCAAATTAAATACTCCGTATTTGAATTAGTTCAAATAGACAAATACATAGGTGTAGACTGTAAATCTGTAATTTCTGATCTCTCATGTAAATCTGTAGTCTCTGTAATTCTGTAAATCTGTAGTCTCGTCTGTCCGTCATCGTAATTCGTACGCTAGTCGCTATATTAGGGACTTAGGTTAGTTAGGTTAATAAGTTTGTCGGCTTAGCTTTGTTTGAATTAATGTTGATCGCTAATTCACTGGAATGAGGAATTGTTGATATACATATACATACTATATATATATATATATATATATATATATATATATATATATATATTTAAATAAGGGGCCCCCATGTGCACCGGCCCTGGGTAGACTTGCCCAGGGACGGCCCTGCATAAATCGGGTATGAAAGTATAAAATACGATAGAAAAATAGTAATATTATAGCTCGGAACACTAAATCTAAAAAAATACGTATAATGTCAGAAATAACGATCGAACTAGCCGTCCAAATAACATATAACAAATACTATAGTTCAACACTGGTGTTGCTCTAGGAACTAAAAAGTACAAGCCACTGGATCAGGAGATATATAAGCTAAGGTTAAGACTATGATGCCTTAATGAGAGGCAATGCATCCTATTTATAGTATAGGAGCCTCCTAGCTCCATAGAATGACAAGTTTTTGGACTAGGTTGTCCTTAATGTACACCATCCACGTGTTTCATTTTCATTCACTCCACTATTTTGCTTCCAATACACTTCACCTGAATAAGTAGAGCTTTTTACCCTTTGATACAAGGACTGAGTAGCTTGGTGGGTTGGCAGGTGTGTTGTTATCCCATAGGTCGTGGTTTTGAACCTTGGTTGTTGCCTCCTTTTGGGGTCACCATGATTCACTCCTCTGTAGCCCACCAAAACTTTTATTCTTTTTTAGACAAAACTTCACTAATAAAAATGAACCCCCTTAGACCAAGACATTCCTAATAAAATAGTCTCGGGGCCATGCCCTCATCAACACTAAAGAACCATTTCGCGCGGTTCGGGGGGCACTTGACTCAGCTGCCGGCGCCCGACAGCGTCCCATCCAATTTTTGTGCCAATTCCCCCTTCGTACTACCAAAAAATGCAATTCTTGTCGAATCCGAGATAGTCACCCATCACACGGCTCTCAAACCCAACCTGTGATGGATCCCGGGAGACAAAGTCAAAGCGCTTGATCCTTTGCCCCATACTTTGAGAGAAGATTTGTGACTCTCCTATGAAACTGTCCAGGACCGAATTTTAGGCTGTGCAAGCTGGGCTACAGCACAGGGCTCCCAATTTTAGAGGGGCCCCAAATTTTAGAGGTCCAACATTTAATTTTTACATAGTTAGTTTAGAAATAAAAATTAAATGTTTTCAATTAACCTTAAAAGGTTTCATGAAGAAATGGTGAGAATGTGTGGTTATTGTATTTTAACTTGGAGGTCAAAAGTTCGAAACTTGCATGTATTGATTTTCAAAATTTTGATTTTGTAAGGCCACATTTATTTACTAGAACATGGCCACAAAAACTTAAAATACGGCCCTAAGACTGTCTCACGAGTCCTTATGGGAGACGGGTCAAGTCAATATAAAATGCAATACTTATAATAAAAAATGTAATGCTAATCAGGAATAAAGTGTTTGTTACTTATAAAGAAAAGTGTAATACTTTAGAGAAAAAATGTAATACTATTAAATCAAAATGTATAAGTAATTAACATTTTATTCATAATTAATATTACATTTTCAGTATAAGTATTACATTTTTAACTTGATTTAACCTGTTTCACGGGTAATATCCGTAAAACGGTCTCACACTAACTTTTGCCCAATAAGAAAATAGGTTAAAGTGTGATATTGATTGGGGAGTATGATATTTTATTAAGAGGGTAGCGGGGCGGTAATCATTAAAGCTACGAAAAACCATTCATACCAAATGTTTTCCGCTTCAAAATTTAGGTAACGGTCACAGGTCACTGGCCACCCAAAAAATAATTAACTAAACAACAATTTTGTTGTATTAAATTATTAAATAATAAAGCTGAGTGGGGGAGGAGTCTGTGGTGATTTCAGATGGATGAGAAAATACATACAGACCCACAGAAACGAGAAAAATAGCACGTTGGTTTTCGCTGGAGGAATGAATGTCAACGCCAACTCAGCATTCTCATATCCGTTTCTTAATAAATATTCAATATAATTATAATAATGCCACCATAAGTTACTCCGTGTAATACCCCAACTTTCATCCTACTTTGTCTAATATTAATTGTAAGTTGTACTCTAGTTTTTTAGTCCAAAAATTTAAACCCGATCACCCAAGTTTAATCCTATGACTACACATTTAGAATGATAATAGAAGTGTAATCGACAGAGCTCGTCGCTGGTATTTGTCCCAAAAATTTCGTCGGAGTTGGTCGAAAAGTCACTGGAGTTAATTGAAAAGTCGTCAGAGTTAGTTAGAAGGTGATCAGAACCCTAGTGACCTGCAATAGTGAACCGGTTTTTGAGTTTCAATGCACCAAAATAACATGTTTATGCGTTTAATTGCAAACTTTTGAATGTTTAAGGGCTCAATTGACTTTTCGACTAAAGTTTAAGGGTTAATTTGATTTTTTTTCTCAAGAATCAATGTTCGCACCACTGCGATAGTAATTGATTTTTCATTCTCATTATTATTGTATTAAATTTTGTTTGTTTTTTTTTTTTTTTAAGTATCACATTTTTTGTTAAATTTGTGATGGAAACGGTCAATCCAGAAGCAATTAATGAAATTAAAATGTTTTCTTTTTCTTTTTTTTTGAGAACAAAATTTTTCTTTTTCTAGCATTAAATTGAAAACTAATTTTAGTGAGAAAAATGACAAATTTGCTTTTTCTGTAGAGACTTCTTTCTCATATAAAAGGCCAATCTTGATTCGTCTTCCTGTGTCTAACTCCTAAAATATTTCCTCTCTCTCTCTCTCTCTCTCTCTCTCTCTCTCTCTCTCTCTCTCTCTCCCTTAGAGAATATTTATCTTCGAGTACAAGAAAGCACGACTTGCACGCCAAGAAATATTGAAGCAAGCAGAACATGAAGCTGGTTTGGTCGCCGGAGAAAGCCTCAAAGGCCTATATCGATACTGTGAAATCGGTAAGAAATCGTGAAAATGATTCATTTTTTTGTGGACTACCCTTTGTTTTTCGGGGTTTAATCTGTTGATTGGGGTGGGGTGCAGTGCGAGTTGATTGAAGAATCTAGCGTAGCGGAGCTGATATCGGCCATGGCGGCGGGGTGGAACGCGCAGCTGATTGTGGAAACGTGGTCAAAAGGGAGCGGGACGGCGACCAGCATCGGGCTGGCGGTGGCCGGCCACCACGCGGGGGGGCGCCACGTGTGCGTGGTGCCGGATCAAGAGTCGAGGGAGGAGTACGGCGAGGCCATGCAGAGTGCGGGGCCGGGGGTTTCGCCGGAGATCTTCGTCGGGGAGGCGGAGGAGGTGATGAAGGGGCTGGAGGGGATAGACTTTCTGGTGGTCGATTCCCGGCGGAGTGACTTTGCTCGGATTCTGCGGGTGGCGAAACTCGGCCACAGGGGTGCTGTGCTCATATGCACCAACGTTTGCTCGCGGGAGGCTTCGGATTTCCGGTGGCGGAGCGTTCTCGACGGGAAATCAAGAATCGTACGCTCCGTTCTTCTGCCGGTGGGGAAGGGGCTAGACATAGCCCACGTCGGAGCCGCCGGCGGGAAGGGTGAGAGGAGCAGATGGATCAGGCATTTTGATAAGGAATCTGGCGAAGAATTTGTGATCCGGAGGTGAATGAATTTATCCATACACTAGATACAATATTGGTAGTAGTTAACTAGATCAAGCTATGAAATGACTTTTGTTTTTTTTTTTTTTTTTTTTTTGTTTTGTTTTTGATAAGTCAAGAGTTCTGACTTCTCTATCTGTATATAGATTTAGAAAATGAAAGCACTTTTTGTTTTCCAGTTTTGTTGGTAGTCTGGTACACATTGGTACTTCTATCAAGGACTATAAAGATTAATTTAGGTGTTTATTTATGCAACTTAAGTTATAAGATAAATTGCTGGTAATGTTCAGTTTTCGCTCTTTAACTTATTATTATTGAAGTTAGTACTTTTTGTTCATTTACTAACAAAACATTAGGAACTATATTTGCAACTTTAGTATAGCTTATGGACAAAAAGTGACCACAAAAGAAGTTAATAAAATGACAAAAAGTGTAACGTCAATGATAATTTACGGGCGAAAAGTGAACCCAACCAGCACTTAGGGACTTATTTCACAATTACCTTATAACTTAGGGATGAAAAGTTCAATTTTCTCAAAATTTTATATAAAGATAGTTATAAAATCTCACTCACACACACACACACAAGGAATAAGGGTCAAATAGATCAATGAAATGCACACAAAAGTGCAATTGGACCATTAAAAAAAACTACAATGAAGTCCCTAAACCAACCAATAGAGTTTATTACCGATTAGGTCCATTGACTATTACGAAATTACTGATTTGGTCCTTGACTATATTTGTTACCCAATTAAGTCCTTCAACTATCAAAAAGTTAACCAATTTGGTCCTCAGTTGGGCCAGCCGTCTAACAACGGTTAATTTGGAGGGTAGTTTCGGAATTTTCATTCACCTGCGTTTGCAAGCTCGATCGCCTCAGCACCCTAATTCTGGCCGACTGGAAGGCCATTTCTGGCCACATTCCGCCCTGCATCACCGCCCTCTCGAACTTTTGCATTCTCGACCTCACCGGGAAACAAATCACCAGCCCCATCTTGACCTACATTGGGTAGCTCAATAAACTCACCATTCTTAATCTCGCCGACAATCAAATCTCCGGTGTCATCCCCACTCCATTGTCAACCTGGGAAGCTTAAAGCACCTGGATCTCAGCTCCAATAAGCTCACCGGGGAACTCCCATCGAATATCGGAAAACTCACCATGATGAGTCGGGCATTGCTGCAACGACAGTGGCGGTGACCAGTGCAAGCAGCTCTTCACCGGCGACAGCGCGGAGTAGTGGTGAGCTTCCTTTCCGACGTAGTAGTTTTTCCCGCAGCAAGAAGACGTCTTCTAGTTTGGCGTAAGCAGATCAGCATAGCAGCTTCGCTCTCCTCGGCGTTTCGGCCTCCAACGAGCTCCGGCGACCTTCTGGTGTAGCAGATCTCTTTGGTGGCAAGAAGCAGCAGCGGGATCTATCAGCGTCCCCTGTTTTCCAACATTAGTAGCGAGGAGATCCGGCGAAGTTGATGATGATGCTTTCTGCCGGCGTGGCGGCTACAATGGACACGGCAACCACTGCTTCTTCCCGGCGTTTGGACATTTCCCGTAGTGACGCGGCTGGACTCACACACACATAACAGTAAAGAAAAAGCTTGGGTAGACCGTGGAGCGCAGGAAATTCCGAAACTACCATCCAAATTAACAGTTGTTAGACGGCTGACCCAACTGAGGACCAAATTGGTTAACTTTTTGATAGTTAGAGGACTTAATTGGGTAACAAATATAGTCAAGGACCAAATTAGTAATTTTTCAATAGTCAAGGGACCAAATCGATAATAAACTCCAACCAATATCATGCAAACCTGTAAAACGGAGAAATTGGAAGAATTGCATGATATTGGTTGGTTCAGGGACCTAATTATAGTTGTTTTTAGTTTAGTGGTTCAATTACGGTTTTGTGTGCCCTTCAATATCCTATTTAAAAAAACCCTTCAATATCCTATTTAACCCTCCCTATTCCAAAATTTTATTAAGACTGGATACAATTCCAAATAGAAGAAGACTAATGTCTTGTTGCTGTTCCAAATGATATGGGGCAATTTGTACTTTGTAGCAGCGGTTTCAATTCCTTAGGCTGGTGTGTGTTTCTATCCCCCCATTGTTCATCTTGGAAACGTTGTATTCGGATTTGAATTAATGCAGCGTGTTTTTTCTTTTCCACAAAAAAAAAAAAAATAAATAAATAAATAAAACATCGTGTTGTTATTATAGGCATATTACATGACTCACATGATACATAAATTATAGAAAGACAAGTTCCTATTACTAAAAATAGTACCAATAGAAGAAAGACGTTTTAAGGTAAACATCTGTGTATCCAAAATTTGATGTACCAATAGAGGAATCAAAAGAAAATGACTTATTTTCTGCAAAAACAATTATCCAAAGCAAAACCATATGTTTGCACAAGTGAACAGACCATATTCTTGTCCAACCCAATAAAATCAACTAGGTATATCGGTTGAAAATTGGGGCTTATCAAAACCCTGAAATTCACAAGTTCGAAAACCAAATGCCGCGCCAATTTCCACAATGTAGTAACTTGAGGCCGTAAAAACGTATACCCTACAATAATATTAGCTTGTCATCCATATGTTACCACATCAAAACACAGAAACATATTTCTCTGGTGCACTTCAGCAGTCCGCTCTCTCAGCCCGGAAGTTGGCAATCTTTTCCACCACCTTCTTTGGAGTAGGTAGTGGTGCATATGAAGCAGCATTAATAATAGCCTGATTCATAGCAGAAAATCGCAATTAGTAATAGACTTCTCAAGAAGAGCTATTTGACATATTAGGGTGTTGTTTTACCTGAAATTTTTCTAGTAGCTTGTTCATCTTTTTAACAACCTCTTCGTAGTTATTCCTGGAGAATTATATGTACAATGAAGTTACATCTTGGACAAGCGGAAAAAGGAGAATAACAAAGTATTAAGTAATCAGAAGAGGGCAGGTTCTAACTCCTGTTTTCTAGTCTTTGATGAGGTAAGCTCAAGCTTCCCATCTCTATTGATCCTATCTTTTTCCTGTTGACACCATTATAAAGAATCATACATAAAGGGGCAAAAGACTGAAAAACGAAAATAAGCCACATTTACGTTTTGCAAAGACAATAAAAACAGTAGTAATCTGTTCAACACCTCAACCTGTCAAGTAGGAATTAAAACCACTTATAACCTAGACTAGAAAAAGATGAGACAGCATGTCACGCAATCACTAAAAAAAAATGTGTAACGTTATGATTGCTCTAAAGAGCAAGCTTTGTCAAAAGATTCCCAGTAATGAGCTTTCTTATAATCTTGTTATTTTCTGGAGCATAGCCCAATGACAGCTGGATGAGGACAGTAATTACATAAAATGCCACAAATCATGGGGATAAAGGTGCATCAAGTTCAGGGTCATGCACAGGCTCCTTCCCCTCCATGCTCTTGTGATATGATCATATGAACAAGTTATGCAAACATGACGTATATATGGAGACATAACTTTAGAGTACATACTCTTTTGTATTGATAAGTATGTTTTTTACCAACTCTTGATCACATCACTATATTGTATGATATGATTATATGAAATGATAACTAAGACCTCAGCCCAGCGCTTAAGTGTTAAGTGTCATTTAACCATTAGATCAATGGTTACTGGCCGCAGTCTTAGACAAGCAGGTTGAACTGAGACTGGCAACAATAGAGAAAAAAAAAACAGGGAGAGCAAGAAGAGTTGGACAAAAAAGTAACAAAGTGAGATAAGGAGTGTGCAGGAAAACAATACGCTACAATTTTATTATAAGTACTAGAATTGTTAAAATGATGATCATATTTAGCTATATTGTGTATTACAATTTGGAAATACAGTCAGATACCCTAAGAAGAAAGCATGTCCTAGAGCTTATCGTAGGAGTTACATGCACTATAAGTTAATGAGCTCTATTTGCATTTGAATGGCCTACATCAAAGAAAACAATACTTCTGCACAATAGACGAGCTGGAAGGCGAAGATCATACACATAAGATACCACTACACTTGATTGTGCATGTGAATTGAGGGAAAAAACTACACTAGTAATTGAACAACACTGATTTCCAAAATGTTTGATAATTGATACTGATAAACAAATATCACTGAACTAAACAGGCAAGACCAAAAAAAAAAAAAACAATAAAAATATTTTGTCTTTTTAAAAGGCAAGACATGCTACATTGACATAATAGATAAAGCATGGAATTAAATATAACAAACTAACCATTAGCATGATCCTCTCCCTGACTCTTTCACTCAACCAATCTGCATTTTGGACATCAAACCTCATAATAACCTTGGTGCCAGCTGAAAACACATAGCAACGCCTTTACTATATGAGAAATTGAAGATATATGTTGTTATATATAGTTTATAAAATATGTAGACCTGTGTTAATACTCCTTATGCGACCCTTGTTTGCTGCAAAAGACACCAAATTCATTAGATGTATCCCAAATCACCATTGAACAATTTGGTTAATGAGTCAAACAACCTGCGCTTGCATTTTGATTCTGATTCTGATTCCCACCCTTTTTACGAGGCTTGGTTTTAGCTGCAATTGAAAGCAATTTTATTAGGGGAATGTAAACTTTCATTAGCCGGTTTTCTTTTCCAGAGAAGTAATATCACCTTCTGTAGTAGGTTGAACCTTGCTAGTGGATTCACCTTGTCCAGTAAAGCTCACAGAAACATGCTCTGAATGTACAAATAATGTTGAATTAGCATTTGGAAATTCAAAGCATCAATCCTTTCCATTTCAACAAAACAAAAAAGTATTGATCAATTGATTGCTATCAAATAGTAAAGTCAAGAAAACTGTAAATTAGGCACAATTTTAGAAGAAAAAAAAAAAAAAAAAAAAAAAAAAAAGATCTTAAAATCCCATAATATGCTAAAACCCTTTCTTGGCAAAATCCTGAAAATTACATCCAAAAACTCAATTAAAATGTAAACTTGTATGCATAAATATTATTATTAACAAAACTCAACAGAACTGAATTTTTTTAAAAAGCAATGTAGAGATGAATAGGGAGAGCGAGATTGAAAGAGATGGAGTACTTAGAGCGATCTTAGGAATATTTTCTTTATTCGAGAAGGATTCCCCTTCCTCTTGGAGAAGGAACTTGTAAACATGCCCAAGCCGCCGTCGCGGTATCTTCTTCTCGAGGTGGCTCGCATCTGACGCCGCAGCGCACCGAGCAGGAAAAGAGCTAATAGCACGTGAGCCAGACCGGATAACGTTCCTCGCCACTGACGAAGATGAAGACTCAGTGAGACAATAGCGCACAGTTCCTGAAATCAATCTCGAAGTGTTTCTAATTGCTGCCATTTCTGATTCGAGATTCTAGCGTCAAAACCCTTGGTTGGGCTGAAGACGACGATTGGTTCGTTTTAGAAACAATTTAACGAAATGTAGTTTTTGCGGGCAATTTATATCCTACACCACGGGCACTGTCCGCCCAGATACAAAACGACGTCGTTTTAAATTTTTTTTTTTTTTAATTTCCCACCCCAGTAAATGGCAGTAATTTTTTCTTTAAAAAAAACCCGTTGTTCAAAAATGTACATAATGTTATACTAGAATACACATAATTGTATACATGAATGTACATAATTATATAACAAAATATGCATACTCTTTTTAAAAGATAATACACATAATCTAACATAATATAATAAACATAAACTTTTAACACAATATACATCAACTCTTAACATAATACACACAAATTTTCTGATTTGAATGTACATAATTGTATAAAAAGAATGTACATAATTGTATAAAAAATGTACATAACTGTATGAACAAATACACATAATTGTATGAACAAATACACATAATTGTGTGAACAAATACACATAATCCCAGCAACTTCCTACCGCGCCTTCCAAAACGACGTCGTTTTGGGAGGCGCGCGGCGCACAGTGCTATGTGCGCCGTGGTGTAGGGTATAACGACTGAGTTTTTGCGGCTCTTGGAGAAATCTGTAAACATCATGGGCTCTTATTAAATTAAACAAAAACAAAACGGAACAAAAAATTCAAGGGCCTGTTTTCCCATTTTCCCTTTTTGGAAAAATGGCACATTTGGTCCCGGAGTTATTACCGTAGTGACGACTCAGTTATCGGGTTATGACCGTATTTATTTGTAGTCCCTTAGTTATGAGCCAAGTAAGGGTAGAAATAGGCCGAGTCAAGCCGAGTTTTAAAAAATTAGGCATGGATCTATTACAAAAATTTAAAACCTAGGCCTGGACCTGTATGTCGGCTTGTTGTTAGGCATGCAATTGGAAGTATATTTAAACTAGTATTTTCCTGTGCGATGCACGGACACAATTTTAGTAAGTATTGTTTTAATGTTATGATACTGAGTAGATTTTTTTGAAAGGAATACTAACGCATATTTAGTTTTATTAAAAATATATAGTATAACTAGTAAGATTTAATATTTTTAATTATGTTCATTTTAAAGTTTATTGTTACGTTAGAATGATAAGCAACATTTGTATTATTATTTGAATTTGAAATTGAAATAACAAATTTATTTATATAGCTAATATATTGAATTAAAAGTTGTAAATAAAAGAAAGAATATGAAATTAAGCCATTTATTAAAAAGAAAATAAAAATTACAAATTTATGAAAACTTCATGATAAACAAAGTTAGTAGTTGAATATACAGAATCAATATGTTATCACATAATCAAATAGATATAAGAAAAACATTTATAGATTGCATTACATGTTGGGTACTCGGATGTAAGATGCATGAAAATTCTTCATGAAAAAACTTAACCTTACAGTCATCCTTTTTTATTTAATAAAAAGGCCGGTTTGATGATTGTGCATGAGTTCTAAAACATAAATATACATAATTGAAGTATTTTTACATCGCAAAAGAATATTTGAAATAAAAATAATTATCACCTAAATCAGTTTGGTAATCAGAAAACATCTGCATTTTGGTAAGCAACTTATTTCTTTTGATTTTGAAATATCTCATTGTTATCTTCATACTATTTTCATGCAGTACATACAATCGACAACCGGGAATTAGTACTATCAATTACAATTTGCAAAAGAATTGTAGTAGTACCTAGTTCTTTTGTATGAACATATACACCTAAAAATTAATCTCCAAGTGCGTATTGCAGCAGATGTGTACTGCAGAAGAAGAAAGAGTAAAGAAATAAAAGAAAGGACCAAGTGCATACTGCAACAGATTTTATGTAAAAAAAAATGATTTTAAAAAATGAAGAAGAAGAAATGAAAAGGAAATTAAAAAAAAAAAAAAAAAAACACCAAATCATCGTCCATGTCAATATGTAACCTGCTAGATGGAGTGTTAACCTGCTATCAGGTGAAATTGTATACATTTAGAGGGTTGAGTGACCTAATTGCCCTTTTTGTTCGTTCAGTGACCAAATTACACTTTCACGTTTCGTTCAGTGACCAATTTGATTCTTATTCCAAAAAAAAAAAAAAAAAACCAAAATTTATTGGTAATTTATATCGTGCACCAGGGCGCGCATTGCATTGTGCGCCCTGATGCAAAACGACGTCGTTTAAGATTTTTTTATTTTTATTTTTTTTGAAATTTTGCTACCCTGGGGTGGCGGTTAATTTTCTTTTAAAAAAATCTCATGTTAAAAAATGTACATAATTTTATATTAGAATACACATAATTGTATACATGAATGTACATAATTGTATAACAAAATACACATATTTTTTTTAAAAGATAATACACATAATCTAACATAATACATAATACACATAAACTCTTAATATAATACACATAAATTTTTTGTTTCGGATGTACATAATTATATAAAAAAATGTACATAATTGTATAAACAAATATACATAATTATATACCATAATGTACATAATCACATTAACTCCCTACATAATTTACCAAAACGATGTTATTTTAGGAGGCGCTGGACGCACAGTGCAATATGCGCGGTGGTATGATTCGTGGTGCAGGGTATAACGATTGGAATTTATCGAACTGCCACGTCTCAAGGTTATCACCCGACCCATTTGATTCAATAATTTGGTTCCCATAAATTTGAATAGTCGACTCCGTTATCATCCTAATAATTACCATTTCTGGAATCTAGAGTCTGGTCACCTTTCTCTTTGTTTTTTGTTAAACCACTGAGGATTGCGAATATTTGCGATCAATGCGATCTGCTTCTCGATCGATCAATTCTAAAGACATTTATACGTGCATACATAGAGAGAAAAATGTCGATGTCCGACTCCGACATGTCTTCGCACGCCATTGATTACAAGTATTTTCGACAAATTACCCGTGATAGCGAGTCATTGTTAACTCTAATGTTTATGTTTTCGATTTTTACGTGGATTGGTTTGTTAGATTTGTTGCCTGTTCGATACATGTAAAGCCTTCTCTTATCCGTCTGAAATTACTCCATATTTATTTAGTTTGAATAGAATTTGTGGAATAATTTTTTCCAGCATATTTTTAGAGTTTGATATTGTTAAAATTGAAATGAACAAGATTCAATAAAGCACATTAATTTCGTTAGTGATAGTGGAAATGAAACAATCAAGTTACTAAGTTGTCATTTATTTATGTGAAAATGACTCGGTCGCAGTTATACCATAGGTATACACTCAGTTCCTCAGTTACCATAGGCATTTGTTAAATTGCATAATAATTATTACATAATAGCCTTGTTTAATTGATTATTGACAAATTTGTCAATATTTAACAAATTCGTTATTTTAATATTTTATCTTTAATCAAAACACCATAAATATGATCAAAATAACAAATATTTAATTTATTTTAAGGATTTAGGGTTAACAATTTTGCGAAGGCATTACTTCTGACTCGGTTGTCCGTTTTGGACAATTTTTTTTTTCAAATCGCGTAAATTTTCGAGACCTATACACTGCAAACCGCCTAAGGAGGTTTGGCCCTCTAATTTCTCCAAAAAATACTTCTTTTGCATGACCTCCAATGCACTATTAGGAATTGTATTACAGTATTTTATAATATTAGAATAAGAATTTTAACCAAGAATTATAGTACGAATAGGAAAGTAGAAAATAATATATTTTTATCAGAAAGATAGATTTTTTAGGAATTGGGCAGGAAGTTAAAGTTTGAGATTTTGTTTTTATATATATATAGAATAGATAGAATAGATTAGAATAGGAATTGTATTACACTATTTTATAATATTATAATAGAAATTTTAACCTAGAATTATAGTACGAATAGGAAAATAGAAAACAATGTATTTTTATTAGAAAGATAAATTTTCTAGGAATTGGGCGGGAAGTTAAAGTTCAGGATTTTGTTTTTATATATAGTATAGATTAGAATAGAAATTTTAACCTAGAATTATAGTACGAATAGGAAAATCGCAAACAATATATTTTTATTAGAAATATAGATTTTTTAGGAATTGGGCGGGAAGTTAAAGTTCAGGATTTTGTTTTTATATATAGTATAGATTTGACATTATGACATCATATTTATGGAAAACTTGGAAGTAACTTGTAAAAAATAATATTTGCACAATTTTTGAATGTTTAATGGTCTAATTGCACACTTTTTTTGTTTGATGGTTCAATTACACAATGTGTAAAACTTTAGTGGCCTATTTGATACTTTTTCCAAAAAAAAAAAAAAAAAAAAAAAAACAAAAAAGGAATAAAGTTCAAATTGGCCATTGAACGAAACGTGAAAGTGCAATTTGGCCACTGAACGAAAAAAAAAATGCAATTAAGCCACTCAACATTCCAAATGTATACAATTTCACCTAATAGCAGGTTAACACTCCATCTAGCAGGTTGCATGTTGAAGTGGACGATGACTTAGACATTCTTTTTTTTCTAAATTTCCTTGTTATTTTTTTAAAATTTTGAAAACCTTTTTGTTGCATAAAATCTGATGCAATATATATTCAGTTTTTTTTTTTTGAAAGATATATATTCTGTATATATAAAATTAAGATGTTAATAAATAGAATGAAATAGGATCCCCTTGGCAGTGCACTTTGGTGCTAAAACCTCTTTTCACATTGCACTTCCTATCATTACAATTTGCAAAAAAATTGCCGCAGTACCTAATCCTTTTGTATGAATACATACACCCAAAAATTAATCTCCAGATGCGTATTGCAGCAGATGTGTACTGCAAAAGAAGAAAGAGTAAAGAAACAAAGGAAAGGACCAGGTGCATACTGCAACAGATTTTATGCAAAAAAAAAATGATTTTCAAAAAAAAAGAAGAAGAAGAAGAAGAAGAAATGAAAAGGAAATTAAAATAAAAAATCAAGTCATCGTCCATGTAACCTGCTATATGGAGTGTTAACTTGCTATCAGGTGAAATTGTATACATTTGGAGAGTTGAGTGGCTTAATTGCACTTTTTTTTTTTGTTTTTTTTGTTTAGTGGCCGTATGACACTTTCACATTTCGTTCAGTGACCATTTTTTTTTGAAAGCCAATACTTCGGATTGCATTAAATCAAGGAAGAAACAATAAATATGGGAGGATTATCCCTCCAGACAGATCGTGCTGAGACTACACTTACATGCTTAGCTAGAGCATGAGCTACCAAGTTGGTATCTCTGTGAACAAAACTAACTGAACAAACTGACACATAGTTAATCAGACGTAAACACGAATCCAAAGCAACTCCAAGATACGTACGAAACGAACTAGCATCCCGAAAGCTTGAGATGAGAACCACACAATCCGAATAAATTTTAATATTCTGGTAGTCGTGTTCCTTTAGCCACGAAAGAGCCTCACGTACCGCCATGGCTTCGGCTAGGAGTGGATCAAATGGGCACGAGAGATGACCGTTAGCCGCTGCAATGAAAACGCCATCCATATTGCGAACATAGAAGCCAAAGGTTGGAGCGGTGATCTGGGCCGTAGAAGCCAGAACCTGTTGGCGATAGCTAGAGCTGCCGAAATGGGCCGGCGGGATAGGACCCGCCAAAGCCCGCCATATGATAGGGGTGGGCTAAAAAGCCCGCCAAAATACGGACCTAAGAGAAGTCGACCCGCCCCGCCTCGCCTTAAGCTCGCGGGCCAGCCAAATTTAAAAAAATTTAAATTTGAAAAAAAATTAATATTAAAAAATATGTTAAGTACATACTAATTTTTTAAACTTGATACATACTAATTACAAAATGTAAACTGTAAACCAATATATATATGGGTTTACAGTTTGTAAACTATAAACCAATATATATAGGTTTACAATTTACAATTTACAAACTCTAAACCAATATATATGAATTTTGATGGCCTCCGCCGGCCCGCCAAGTCCGCCTTGTCAAAGCCTGTGGGTTAGGTGGGGGTGGGCTAAAAAGCCCGTCAAAACACAGACCCAAACTATCAAAGTCACCCCTCCTCTTTTCGCGGGGCGGGACAGGCTAACCCGGCGGGCTAAGTCTGTTTTGACGGCTCTAGCGATAGTGTTGCATGGGAAAGTTCATCAATGACAGGCTCTGGGGAGGCAATCAGACCTTGTCTGTTGTTTGCAACCCATGAAGACCAAGAACTCTGGAAGCTGCGCCATAAGTGCACTCGAGACGGGATTGAGAGTTCCCAGACAACCATATTTCGAGCCCTCCAGATTTCGTAAAGTATTCCACAAATTTGCTCCTTTAGAACACCAGAAAATGTTGCTGAGATGCCCAACCAACCTTCCACCCACTGCATAAAATCATGATCATCAAGGTTAGGGATTTGAAGTTGTGAAACATTCCACACACGTCTAGCATAAACGCAAGTGCATAAAATGTGCATAACATCCTCCTCAAGAACACCACAAGCTGGGCATAGATTAAGGACCTCCACTCTCCTCCTAATCAAATTACTAGTCGTTGGCAAAATATTAGAGAGGTACCCAGAGCTTCCATATGTTATTCCATACAGAGGGACCCGGAGCCAGGGCCGTTCCTAAGAAGATTGGGGTCCTGTGCAAAAATTTAACATGGCTCCCTTTTTGTATAATTGTAAACTAGTAAATTACTCGTGCGATGTATGGATAAATTTTTTTTATTATATATTTAAATAATAAAATTAATGATGAAATTATAAACAATTCTAATAGTTGAAGGTGTATATTTCTTTGAAATTATAAGATTTGTATATTAGTATTGAAATTGATTACTTAAAAAGTTAAAATAAAATTATATTAGGAAAAGTATAAACAAAAAATAGAAGGATAGAATAGCTAATTGATATTATTTTAAGTAACAGAAATATACGTACTATAATCAAATGAAGATATATTATATTGTACCAAAATATATAATAATCTATAATAAAAAAAAAATTATCATTCAAATTTTCACTTGAAAAGTGACATTTTATCATTCAAATTTTCACTTGAAAAGTGACATTCTTCCTCTTCTTCATGCATATTTAGATGTAAAATCATTCACCTAAATCTTTCTTACAATATACTTGATCATAAACAACAGAAATTGATATTGCATTTACTTTCTCAACCTACTGAAACACAAAGAACCAGTAACGCCACTGAAGCTCGAACTCATAATCTTCCAAATGGAAGTCCAACCCGGGTACCATTAAACCACATAGTCCTGGTAGGATTATTGAATAACTTACATACAAGAAATTTTAAAATTTTGAATAAAATTAAAGGATTAAAATATTTAACTTACATACTTTCATCCTTTTATTATGAAGAATAAAAAAATTGAGGATGTCAAATGCACACACAACACACTTCAAATTAATGATTACTGAGATCGAATTCCTCCATTGTGAATACAAATTTTGTGTATATGCATTATAATAGGAATATGTGTAATTTTTTACTCTTGATATATAATAATTTTACAATAGTCAAATAGACCCGCCTTAATTCCTATAAGTTATAGGACTATATATAACTCTAACATAAATCAAGTCTTTAGGAATTAGGAATATAAATTTTGTAGAATTTTAGACCGTCATAATTTCTTTATACATAAGTTATACCAACACTAATAATCTAATATTTACACCATAAATATATACTAAGATTTTTTTTTTTAAATAAAAGTACCCCCCAAAATTTGGGGCATAGCAACTAAACTATATATGTAAATGTGTGGACATTGGTAATATTTGGGGTCCCCAAAATTTGGGGGCCCTGTGCGCTTGCCCTAGCCAAACATGGCCAGGGACGGCCATGCCCGGAGTTTTCATATGTTATTCAATACAGTACCATGCGGGTAGTAATTTTCCCTAGGCTTCTATAATCATTTTTCACCGTATAACAATCCGCAATATCTCCATCCAATACCAATCATATGCCAAAATTAATATTCACCGGGTTTGATCCTTATTAAAAAAAAAAAAGAAACAGAATTTATTAGAACTGTTACGTCCGAAAATCCTCCATTTTGGGGGACCCAGAGCTTCCATATGTTATTTCATACAGCACCATGCGGGTAGTAATTTCCCTAGGCTTCTATAAGAGCCCCTAATATCTCTCATCTAATACCAATCATCGCCAAAATTAATATTCACCAGGGTTTGATCCTTATTCAAAAAAAGAAATGGAATTTATCAGAACTTGCCACATGTCCTAAGGTTATCATACCCGACCCGACCCATTTGATTCAATAAATTTTTTTTTTTTTTGAAAGGATTTGATTCAATAATTTGGTTCCCATAAATTTGAAGAGTCTCCGTTATCATATGAGAATTACCATTTCTGGAATCTGGAGTCTGGACACCTTTCTCTTTGTTAAACCACTGAGGGCCATCAATGCGATCTGCTTCTCGATCGATCAATTCTAAAGACATTTATACCTGCATATATAGAGAGAAAAATGTCGATGTCCGACTCCGACATGTCTTCGCACGCCATCGATTACAAGTATTTTCGGCAAATTACCCGTGATAGTGAGTCATTGTTAACTATAATGTTTATGTTTTCGATTTTTACGTGAATTGGTTTGTTAGATTTGTTGCGTGTTCATACAGATAAAAGCCTTCTCTTATCCGTCTGAAATTACTCCATATTTATTTAGTTTGAATAGAATTTGTGGAATAATTTTTTCCAGCATATTTTTAGAGTTTGATATTGTTAAAACTGACATGAACAAGATTCAATAAAGCACATTAATTTCGTTAGTGATAGTGGAAATGAAACAGTCAAGTTAAAGTTGTCATTTATTTATGTGAAAATGACTTGGTCGTAGTTATACCATAGGTATACACTCAGTTTCTCAGTTATTGTCTTCTATTTTTAGTCCTTAGTTATCCTTGAAGCTGCAAATTTGATCATTTTTGTTAATATTTTGTTAGATTTATATGAAAAATGAATAAAAAAGCTTAGGCAGGGGTAGATATGGAATTTTGATTTCCTTCCCTTCTCCTTATATGAGAATTTCTGAGGTTCTAGTGTGGTTTATTTGACAAACCGTAAGCTCCAATTTGGTGGTAAACAAAGGTAAGAGCCTTATATAGGAGCTCTAAGGTTGTCAAATGAACTCACTTGAACATGGGAAATGTTTGCCTCATATAAGGAGAAAGAGAGGAAATCAAATTTCCATGATTATATGCACCATTTTTTTTTTCCATGTTTATATGTCTTACATTTTAACTTTTTTTTTTTTTTGAATTGATTTTCTTTCTAAATTTAATGGAATAATTGAGGCACCAAAAATCGATACGACAATAACTGAAGGACTAAGTCTATACTTGGGGCATAACTCAGGGGACTAAATATTTGTTTTCCCTTTATTTGTTTGATGCGGGTTGAGTGAGGCACTTCTCTTGGTTTTCTATCTTTGGATGTTTTATTGTTTGATAATTCAACTGGAAGAAATCAACAACAATGGATAACAATTATTGGGTATGGTGTTGTACCCTCAAGCTTTTCAACATGTTAGAGTTGAATGTAGCAGAAGGAAAGTAGAATTATATGTAGATTAGAAAGTTTCGATCTGATCCTCTCATCCTCATTAGTACAAGGAACAATTCGATGTGGCACTACTGATCCTCATTAGTACAAGGAGTAGTTCTAGCTATAAATTTTTGACATTCATCCATTTATGATTGGATTCTTTATTTTATCTACACGGGTGATAAATGCCTTTTCTAATGGTAACTATGATGTGCTGGTGAAATATCAGGTTGATAGCTAACAATTGAACATTATTTGTCATTTCTATGACATCAAAACATATTCTCTCTTCAGTGAATTTATTTGGTGGTAAAGGAACTTATTTTACTACAGGGGCATAAGTTTGGTGTTGTAATACTTCTTGGAACTTACCCTCATTTGTTGTTTCTAATTCAAGAGAGACCATTGTGTAAACTTGTTTGGAAACTTTTATGCCAACTAAGCTATGCTGTATTAACACAACTCTTATTAGACCAATCAAGTGTCTACATGCCACACTTGTCACGTGTAGACACATATTTTTTTTACTAAATAAAAGAAATAAAAAGTTAGATATGCGACTTTCAAAAAAAGTTAGATATGCATGTTGATACACATAGACTCTTCTTAGCATTTTGTTCTCTCTCTAAAAAATTTAATGTGCAAACACACATAAATATAGATAGATAGATAGATAAATAAATCCATTGAAATCCTATTCCCTAAAAATTATGTCTTTGTAATCTCTTTGCTTTTAGATTTTTCATGTCACTTTTTCTGTCTTCTCTGTATTTTCATGTTAAAGTTTGTGGAAAATAGCTACTATGCCTGAGATGAAGGTAATACCTAAGTCTATCCAACTTGAGGTTATTTAAGTGGGTGGAAAAGCTTGATGTTGGTTCCGACTTAAGATGTTATTACATAGGTCAAACTGAGTTTTAGCTAATTATTCATTCCTAGTTTTGACATTGAAAAGCTTTAGATAAGTTGTATCATGGCAGCCTTATTGATTTGGGTTAGTAAAGCTGAATGTAGTTAGATATGGTACTTAGAACCCCACCTTGAAAATATTTCTTAATGTGCCTTATCAACTAGGCAATCAAAGTGTGAATGCTTGATAGATACTGATATTGTATATTAGGAGTACATGATGATTTATATGTAGTATCAGTTTGGTTGCCCAACTATTCAAGTAGTAATTTTGCTGCTTTGTCCCCCATTTAACTCATTTTTAAATAGTATCTTATTAGTAATAAAAACACACACATGCTCACATGCGCTCGCACACACACTCACACACATATATATATATATATATATATATGTGTGTGTGTGTATATATAGACTTTTGTTCAAATGCAACCGTGCCTTCTCGTGCGGCCATGCGGCCGCTTGACAAATACACCAACAGTGTTAACAAAAGGCACCAATAGTGTTAGGAAAAAAGCACAACAATGAAATGCACAAATACACCAAAAAACACACAACACACCCAAAAAAATGCACTATATAACTCCCCACCCGAATGGTGTATTTCCGAACACTATGTGGTGCTTTTATTCATATATATATATATATATATATATATATATATTTATTTATTTATTTATTTATTTATATTTATTTATTTATATATATTGCATTTTATTCAAATATTTCCATATGATTTGCAGGATTACTATGTGAAATGCTTAGATCAGCAAAATCAAAGGACTCAAAAGCAACATGGAAGGTCTGTTTGGAAATTATAGGCCTATAGCCTTTGATTTACTCATAATTTGAGTTGTTCTGCTGTTGTGTTACTTTCTTTACATATAAAAGTACAATTGTTTTTATGTTGTATATTAATTAATAATGAATAAAGACAGGCTCCGGGTGGGCAGCAGGTTTATAGCCAGCACAAAAAACTTTGTCAAACCTTCAAACGTGGCTATAGTAATTGATATAGGGCAATCTAACTAGAGCTGGTAATTGAAAGAAAGCTAGAAACCTACAAAGATTGGGATTACTCTTTGTAGGGTTGGAATCCCATTACTATTAATATTTTGTTTGTTTTTCAAATTAAGTATTCTTTTATCATTCCTATTAGGATTTACAGTGGTATTTATCTTACAACTATGCTTGTGCCTCTGGTTTAAAAATTCAACTTTCAATGAACTATTATTATTCTTAGTTTTATGCGAGATGTTTTTATAATTCTCTCAACCAAAAGAGTATCCTTGGTTCCTTGAAGTCCAAGCAAAGATTTTAGCTTATGAGGGTGTCAAAACCCTCCTCAATTTCTGCTATATCAGGTGGTATTATAGTCATGATTCATCCAATTTAATGACCTATTGAACAAGGTGATATCCATCCCATGGATGAATATGGAGTTTGGTGATTACAAATGCATCACAAGTGATATGCAAATGATTTTCTAAGTCCAAAACCAAGGCATGGTGAGAGTCAAAGGACCCTCAGTGGTCTTTGTGACATGATGTGCTGTCTAGGATTGTAAGGAAATAGAGGGCATAGAGTCACACAAGGGGTTGAGGGAGTACCGCAAAGCCATCATGTGGTTTGCCCTCAACAACCCATTGCACATATTGAGCCTAGTAATTATTATTCTAGTGATGAGGACACTCCTTATTGTCGAAGATCATAAGGAAAACCTTAGAGTGGAGTTCGTCAACAACAAAAATGAATACAAAAACTACCCCCAAAGGTGGAGGATCAAATGCAAGCCTCACGGAGGTGTATCAGGTAGCAGTATGTAAAAGTACAACTTTGGTCAAAGGTGAAGGGTTGTTTAACGGGACATTCCCTACCCCTAATTATGAGCAATTTTTGTTTCAATTATACCAATTATGCTCCCAAGGACAAGGATTTGTTTATGACTACACCATGGAGTCCAATAGATTAGCTTCTAGGAATAAAAATTAAGGGAACCTGATGGCCAATAGATTTCAAGAATAAACGGATTGAGGCCATATGCGAAGATTTATTGATGACCTTTGTCCTAGGACTCTAGCATGTAAAATGGGGAGTTAGTACTACCTTAGTGGCGGTTGACAGGTTTTCTAAAATTCTTTACTTTATTCATTGTAAGTAGACACCAAGTACTTCAAAATGTAGCATTTGTGAAATTGGCCAACTACAAGGGTTACCTAAGTCAATCACATTAGACCATGACACCAAGTTCTTGAATCATTTTTGGATTACGTTGTGGAAGTATTTGATATATCTTTGAATTTCAACAGATTGTTAGACTGAGGTAGTAAATGGGAACATGGGGAAATATGATCAAATGCATTTGAGTGGAGAAGTGAAGACAAGGGGATTGAACACTTGCAAAATCAAATTTTCCTTAAATAATAGTGTCCATTCACTCCATTGTAGAGAAATCACCCTTTTCCGTTGCTTTTTTGAAGCTTCGCGACTGCTCAAGCTTGTTCTTGACTTAATTAAGTTGCCTTGCTTGGGGAGGAAGAGTAGGGGAGCTTAAGAAATGGCCAATGAGGTGTGATGAGGTTTGGAGAAAGGTAATGGCGTAATGCTAAATTCAAAGCTACAATAGATGAATTTTGACGTTGGGTAGTCTTTAAAGTTGGTGTCATGGCAATGTTTACTTGCAGAAAGAATGACTTCCAGCTAGGGCTCCTAGCAAACTGATGCCAAATAACTTATGATTCATATTGTATCCTAAAGCAAGTAAATGACAATGCCTACATGGTGGGCTTACCAAAAGACCTGGGAATTTTAAAGACTCTCAATGTGGCAATCTTATGTGAGTTTTGAGAGGATGTTTTTAGTATCTGAGTGCTATTGGTAACTTGAGGGCGAGTTTCTACTTTCTATTCAAGAGGAAGGCTCTGATGCATGGCATTCTGACTAGAATTGGGAATTTAAAGAAATTTAGAAGCCTTCAAAGATTGAGATCACTCTTAGTAGTGTTAGTATTGAATATTAAACCTTAACCCTAGAGTGTAGTAATAGTGGGCTTAGCCCAGCTTGCATCTCATGTGTATATAATTATTATATCAATATAGGACCTTATGTATAGTTTTCAATACAAAGAAATAATAATAAACCTCTATTATTTTATATGGTATCGGAACCCTAAACCGTAGGTCTGCCATAACAAAAATTTCTGCCAAATTCTTTTTTCTCCTGCATGAAGAGTTCTAGCACGACTGTCCATTAGTAGTGGGCTTAGCCCAACTTGTGTCTCGTTTGTATATATAAATATATAACTATAGGATCTTATGTACAGTTTTCAATGTATAGAAATAATAATAAACCTTTATTATTTTACAGTTAGGAATCCTTTTAGTAGCAGTCGTTTGTTTATTTTCTACATTAAATATTCTTTTATGAGGCCTAGTGGGATTAGTAGTAATATTTCCCCAATCAATGCACTTGCAGCCTTTGGCCTGGACATTCAACCTTTCAATAAAGTATATTCTTCTTAGCTTTAAGCAAACTGCATCTCGTTCTACTTCTCTCAACCAAAGAAGTCTCTTTGGTTTCTAGGAGAGTCTAAGTGAGGGTGTCGAAACCACCCTCAGTTTCTGCTGCATCACTAATGCACTAAAGCCCATAATGACTTTGAAGCTAAACATTCTTGGACGGGATTGTACTACTACTTGACATTCTAGTGAGCTGGGATGAATATGCTCTATTACCGGTGGGGTCAGTTTAACCCATTTGATTGTAATTATTGAAATGCCCCCACGTAAAAATTGAAATTTTTTATTTAGTGGGGTAAAAATTGTCAAGTTACGTAGAAAAGAAGGAAAAACAAAAAGTGAAAAAGAGTGCCTCTTCCACTCTTCTAGAGTTCCAACTGGCCTTTTCAGTCTTCACAACTAACACAGCTAACAGTGAGAATAAAAAAAGGGAAGAACATATGCACAAATTGTTCACAAGAGTACAATAGAAAATCATACTTCAATAGAAAAATTGAAGTATGTGTGTGTGTGTGCATGTACCTATGTATTACCCAACTGAGCTAAAATCCTGGAATCACTTTTACTAGGAGGCAATAATGTTGCATCTTGGTCCATCTAATTGTAACTAGGTTGGAATTGGGGATTGTTCTAATTAAGAGTTAACAGACATTGTTGATGCTTTAGCTCTCAGATACATATATCACCTGTCTTAGTTGCATGCATTCCCTCTCTCCCTTATCCATATTGCTTTTGTCTCAGACATTAATGTGCTCACCCTCATGTTGGAATAAGAAACACACCATCTTACTAAGGCAGACTTTGGTTTCTCATACTGTAATCTTTGTAATCATTGCTTGCTTGTGAAAACTTGAATTTAGAATTTATTTCACTTTTGGTCTCTCGACTATTATAGCCTTTCCATTTATGGTGCTCAACTGTGACTTATTATTTTTTTTTTTCCCACAGTTATGTCATCAATTTTGTTTCGCAGTGTTTGTTTGCTCAGGATTAAAATTTTGAAGATACATTAGGGTTTTAATTTCGTGCAGTTTTTCAGAATTAAAGAGTTTTTTTTTTTTTGTTTTTTTGTTTTTGTTTTTTTTTTTTTTTAAATTACTCTCTCTAAATTTCCTGAAAGTGGTGATTTGACACCCAAAAAGGAAAAACAGAAGGAGAAAATTTTGGTGGTGCTGGTATTACATTGGATTTTAAGGTGTGCTTTGCTAGGGGATTTGTAGTTGAAACTGTCTGGCAGCAGCAGAGCAAGTGGTGGTGATGTTGGAGATCTGGGATAGATGGAGGATGGATTGAGCCATGAAAGCAAAAATGATTTGGTAGCACTGGTGAGAAATTTTCTGGAAAATGGAAGCATTCGTACAAGCTCCAGGAGTGCAGTGATATCATTGGTATAAACTCCAGGACCAAATTACCCTAAAAGAAGTGTCACATGATGAGTATGTGAAATTTTCAGTCTCATGCTCACTGGAGATGCAGCTAAAAGGACTAAAAGTGGTACATTTTTTAAAGTCTAGCATTAAAAGTGGAAAAATTATATTCAAGATTTCAAGCTCCATAAATGAAAATTCCACCACAGTTGAGGGACCAGAAGTAGAATAAATTCCTTTAAATTATACAGGGGGTGTATGTTTGGGTCTGTTTTCCTTCGCTTGGTGTATTTAACCCATGTGATGTGCAGGTACTCATCATGGACAAACTAACAGTCAAAATAATGTCATATGCGTGCAAGATGGCAGATATTACAGATGAAGGAGTTTCATGTAAGGCATGAAAGGCCAGTCTCAGGACAATAGAGTTTTTCTCCTCTATCTTGATTTTTAATTGATTCAAATGATTTTTTAAATGTGCACAAGAAATGCCTCTGTTATAGGGTTGATTATGATTTGAATAAGTTTTTAGTTTCTGTATTTTTAGATGTAATATGATGGATGGGTTTGGTTACTCTATTTGGTTGCACATGTTTCTTTGGAAGGTAAAGAATGAAATCATACCATAATGGATCCCTTATGCAGTTATGCTGCAAAACTTCAAATTCTGTTGACATCAAAATGCTAATGCCATTTTGAGAGCTTTTGTCTAATTCGCCCACTGTTCAGTCTTTGTTTTTTGTTCCTAAAAACTGCCTTAACCATGGATTTTAAGAAACATGTAAACTCTAATGTCTGAGCAGGAGCTTTTTAATGGAGATTTGTATAGAAATTAAAAATCACTTTGGAAGCATGTACTACATTAGGATCTATCTCAAGCTAGTTCAGCGCATAGCTGCAGTTAGTTGCCTGTTTTTTGCTGTCCTTGTTTTTCCATTTAATCGGGATTGATATTTTACCCTTTACAGATTTTTTCATACAAGCTTAACCTCTTTTAGACTAACCATTTCCCTTTTGCCAACAGTGGTTGAAGACATCCACAAGCGGCGACAGCCACTGCCCACAATGGATGCTGTATACTTCCTTCAACCCACTAAAAACAAGTAATAAATCCTACATAGCTGCTTTTGCGGACATTGTTAATCATTAGTGTATTTTAGGTTTTGGCTTCTAATATGCTAGAGAAATTAGTGATAACTGGAATTTATTACTGTTTCTGTCATTTGTTTATGCATATTGCCTATTTCTTCTCAGACTTTGGAATTCTCAAACCTTTTTTGTCTGGTATGCAGTGTTATAATGTTTTTATCTGACATGGCTGGGAAATCACCTTTATACAGAAAGTAGGTTATCCTCTACTCATTCTAAAATCAAATATTCAAATATCTGTTTTCACCCTTGTATCAAGCATCTGATTTTGAAGGGTCTGTACTGTATATAATATATTATTGTTAAAGAGCTTTATTATTGGGTTGAGTACTGGTTTACAAGGAGAGGTATGTGAAATTCAGTGTGTGTGGTATGAAGAGATTGTCCCTTCTTGTTTGCTGTTGGAATCCATTTGTCTTGACCCTTGATGCTTCTCCCTGAACTCTCCCTTCAACTTCCCCTTGACCTCACCTTCAGAAGAATTAATAAGAATAAAAGAGATTACAGTAGATTGGTAGAAAATAGGAAACTACGGTAGAGTAAATAGTGCAGTAGTCTTAATTCTTTTTGCTGTAATATTTGCTCTCTTTTATATAGATGTATGTGTTTGTGCACATTTGAACATTTTCACTTTGTTTATAGGGCATTTATCTTCTTCAGCTCACCTATTGACAAAGAATTGGTTAATCAGATAAAGAAGGAAACCACTGTCCTGTCTCGCATTGGTGCCTTGAGAGAGGTTACTGTTTCTTATCTATTTACTCCGTATTTATTTATTTCTTGTAGTATCAATTTTGTTGGATAGTTCGAATTGTTTTTTTATTGTTCTCATTATTGGCTGTAATTATTCAGATGAACTTGGAGTATTTTGCCATAGACAGCCAGGTATACACTGCATCACTGCATTACTCCAAGAATCTTATGTTGAATAATCTGACTTCTATACGAATTTGAGATCTTATTATTAAAATGTCCCTTATATGTTGTGTCATAATAGTTGTAAAATGTAATGAAGTTCTGTGAGTTTGTTAGATAGCCAAATTTTTGACTAAGCAATGGAATTATTGTGTGGAGTGCTGTTAAATGCCTTTTATTAGGTGGAAAACGTTTCATGGTATAGAAAACTATCATGGCTGTATAGTTTCCCTTTCATCCTGGAAGTGTTCAGGCTACATCTAGCAGTAGTCTTTGAAGATCTGCATGGGTTGGGCATTAGCCTGAGTCTAGCATACAAGTAGTAAGCTCCCTCTGTGGTAGTGGAGCATCCTGTTATATGCTTTGGTTTCCAATCAATCTCACTTGAAGTCCTACCTGTTTTATTTCCCCTACCATTTATTAGTCTTTAAACCCCATTGAGAAGCCCTTCTTTTTGCTATAATGTTTATGATCAGTGAACTTTAGGTTCGGTTCATGACTTCATGTATCATGAACCGACAATGCTATTGTTTGGTCTTGACACATGTTTTGCTTTAGGGTTTTGTCACAGATTATGAGAGGGCTCTAGAGGAACTTTTTGGAGATGATGAGGGTTCTTGCAAAGGTGATGCATCCTTGAATTTGATGGCCTCCCGCATTGCTACAGTACTTGCCTCATTGAGGGTATGCAGTTGAAGAATATGCTCGTAACTTATTGCAATTGGCAATGCTTTGAGCCTTCTTCTAACATCGATTTTCCACAGGAGTTTCCTTCAGTGCGTTACCGTGCTGCCAAACTTGATCCTACCACAATGACTACATTTCGTGATTTGATTCCAACAAAGCTTGCTGCTGGAGTTTGGAATTGTCTTATGAAATACAAAACTACCATTCCTAATTTTCCTCAGACAGAAACATGCGATCTACTTATTGTGGATAGATCTGTAGATCAGGTTATTTAGCCACATGCCTGGATTATCTGTGCTTACCATTTTCTTGTCTGTTTAATCTTCTTCTCTCTTGTTTCCAGATTGCTCCCATCATACATGAGTGGACATATGATGCCATGTGTCATGATTTGCTGAACATGGAAGGGAATAAGTATGTGCATGAGGTAGGCAATGCTTTCTTAATTTCATCCTGCTAGTTTCCTTCTGCTTCATATCAATTGATGTTAATCCTTAGGTTCCAAGCAAAGTGGGTGGCCTTCCTGAGAAAAAAGATGTGATTTTGGAGGATCACGATCCAATCTGGCTAGAGATTCGCCATTCCCACATTGCAGATGTATGTATCATACTGCCATGCATAGATTGGTTTTTAAGTCTTTAACATAAATGTTGAGTTCACAAATTTTCAGATGTATGCCTCATGAATTTGTCAATTTACTGATTTGTTAGGCTAGTGAAAGGTTGCACGAGAAGATGACAAACTTTGTTTCAAAAAACAAAGCTGCAAAAATCCAGCAAACTTCAAGGTCTCCCCCGCCCCCCATTTTAAAGATCTTTTAGTTCACCGTTCTACACGAACTTGATTGTTGCCTTGAATTTGGAACAGCCACTGGTCTTTTTTAAGAACAGTGTCTTTGCCTCGTTTTGAAGTAATCTTTTTTGTAGAGATGGTGAATTGTCTACTCGGGATTTACAAAAGATGGTTCAAGCTTTGCCTCAGTATAGTGAACAAATCGAGAAGCTCTCTCTCCATGTAGATGTGAGTCTCGTCTGCAAATTGCATTTGCTGTTACCATTTCAACCAAGCTTATTGCTTTATTTCAAATTTGGGATGTACTGTGTTATGATTATATATGCAAAAGAGCAACCTATCTCAGTTTGTTCTTTGTATCATATTTTATTGGCGTCCATTCTTATATAAAATATTAAAAGGCACAAATATCACTCATTGAATTGTGAAAACAATGTGAAGTTGAAAATGAAATGGTTTTATAAAATTAGGTAAAACAACATACATCATTGTACTGTACCAAGTTTGTGTCTACTATGTTGGTGAATGTTCTTGATGAACATCTGCACTTATTGAGACACCAGTTGCTCCATTCTCTACTTTACAGAATTTTATTTCTTTAAAAAGAGGAAAAGCCCTTCTAACTAAAACTATCTTTCTGATGCTCTATTTTCATTTTCCTTTCTTAAAAAAAACTAGATTGCTGGAAAGCTGAATAGGACCATCAGAGAAATGGGGCTTAAAGAACTTGGGGAATTAGAACAAAATCTTGTTTTTGGTGATGCAGGAACAAAGGATGTCATCAATTTCCTGAAAATGAAACAGGTGGGAACTGTTTGACTGTGTCTAGTGTGTATAAAACTATAAATTTAAAATGGCATTTAAATTACATTCTAAATTTTGAATCTTCTGTTATAGGATATAACGCGTGAAAATAAGTTGCGCTTGTTAATGATATATGCTGCGGTCCACCCTGAGAAGTTTGATGATGATAAAGTTGCAAAACTAATGGAGGTAGTTTGCGTTCTTTACTTTTGTCAATTTGGATGCCTTTATTTCTAATGGATAAATCTTTATGTCTGCTATACAAAGTAATTGTTGAATTTGGAAAGATGGAATGGCCTGGCGGGTGGAGTAACAACCACCCGCCAGTTAGGCGGAAGCAATGATGAAGAATCAAGGAATCGAAAATGTATATAAGACTGAAATATATTAGTATGATTCTATATTATCTGTGTGTTTCTAACAAAGAAACATAGTACATATATATATACAAACACATAACTATAAGTACCTATCCATAAACTGACACCTATCCGGATGTAAACTATGTAAGTACATATAGATAAACCTAACTCTTTATTTTTCAACAGTCCCCTTAAGCTAGAACATCTGGAAGTTCCAAGCTTGGATTAAAACATACACTTTACCTTACTTTAAATGACAAATGAAGATTAAAAGCAGCTAGAGGATAACAGTGTTGGATGGCTTCGGAGGGACAATGCTATACACAACCCTTGGGAAAGAAGGCACCAAGGATGATGATTAACATGAACACCCTCACAACAACATAAGCACTCTAGGATTTGCCAACAACAATCTTCATCAAGAACGGCAGAGCAAACAAATCATGAGCAGCAAAGGGGATGTAGTAGAGCCCACAGTAATGACAAATACACCCAAAGAATAAAGTATGAATACCGAGAACACCACATGATTGTTGTTTATACCCCTTATTATAGGATAAGTGAATAACAAAAGAGGCCTTCGGAAATAAAAAAGGTGCCAAACTTGAAAACCCTAGGGAATAAATATGGTATACCAAAAATAAAGAAACAAATACGGTTATACCAAAAGCACCCCGGAAAGAAGTTTGGCAACAAAGCCAAAAAGCCTTTAAACTTCACCAAAAGGTCCAAAGAAGGGCAAAACAACAATCTGGAATTTTCACTGGAGAAATACACAGATGGAGTCGCAGAGGCTTGACGAGAATATTTGGAAGGTCTCGCCGAAAAAATATGCCGCAGGTGACCACACGTGCTGGCGCGTGAGGTCGGAAGTCCGGCGACGGTGGCAGCGCATGGCGGAGGAGATGGCAATGCCGCTTGCTAGGTTCGCCGGAGACCGTAGAAGGAATGGGTAACACCAATTTGACAAAAGAACTCACCAAAAGCAAGTAATTTGAAAAATTAAAGTTTCGCGTGAACAATAACTTTACTGTTCATGCAATTGAAAAATACAATTTTTTATGTTTGAAATACCCTAGGAAAGTAGGTTCTGATACCATGTTGAATTTGAAATATGGAATGGCCTGGCGGGTGGAGAGTAACGTTAGGCATGAAAAATCAAGGAATAGAAAATGTATATAAGACTGAAATATTAGTATGATTCTATATTATCTGTGTGTTTCTAACAAGAAACATAGTACATATATATATATATATATATACACATATATATATATATATATATATATACAAATACATAACTGTAAGTACCTATCCATAAACTGACACCTATTCATAAACAGACACAATCTTGTAGATAAACTTAATTCTTTATTTTTCAACAGTAATCTTACCATTTGGAATTGATTTTTAAATTTTCATGTTTTTTGTGTTTTTTTGTTGTTGTTGTTGTTGTGGTGGTGGTTGCTTCAAAGTATATAGTGTTTCTTTTTCAGATCAGTTTCTGAAATGCCCTACTTTACCACCCTATTATTTTGTACCTAATTCTATTATGATTCTTAATATTTTATTGTACTATGGTTTTGTAAAATAGTTACATTGCCTTTTTATATTTATTTTTAGGTAGCACAATTGCCTGAAGATGATATGAGTGCTATATACAATATGAGGTTACTGGAGGGATCATCATCTTCAGAAAACAAAAAAAGCTCAAGTGGGTCCTTCTCTCTCAAATTTGATGTTCATAAGGTGTGTAACTGATTCTGAAATCAACTTTTGTATTTAGAGAGCTCCCCCTAACAAATTGCTCTACTCATCGCCTAACAATTTCAGAAGAAGCATGCTGCGAGAAAAGAACGACATGATGAACAAGCAACTTGGCAATTATCTCGTTTTTACCCCATGATAGAGGTTTGATGGCTTGTTGCATTTAGTGTTCCCTTATCCTATATGTCGTTATATCTCTCTTGCCTTGTTAATGTTTGGTGGTTCTTATATGGTCCTGATTTTAAAATGTAGAAACATGAGAAAATCTGTAAAAGTTGGCAGTGTAACATATGAAATCTGTCCCTCACTAGAAATTTCCCGCCTTAAGAAAAAGAAGGTAGAAAATATTCCGAGCTTATGCTAAAAAACAAATAGGAACATAAAACCAACTCTAGATGAGAATTGAAAGCTAATAATCCAACCATTCCTTTGAGAAAGTTAAATGTAAACGTGCTACATGATACAAGCCAAGAGTATCAAACTTAGTATTAGGAAATGCACTATGATCTATATTTAGTGAATGATCTTTAAATATAGCAACAGTGTATAGATAAAATGTTACATTATTTGTACTTTTGCAATTTTTTCCCTTGTTCGAATTTTATTTCATAAGCTATTTAAGCTCTTTTTTTTTCCCTTTCTCAATCCTTCTTCATCTTTTTTTTTCCTCGTTTATGGTGAAAGATGCTAGTGCCTTTATCTGCACACTTAGAGGATACCTATTATTTGAATGGTGTTTTAAAATTTTTAATAGTTTGTGTAGGTGTGGATTAGTGGAATGACGAGTTTATAATGGCAAGATGGATGGATACGCGGAGTACTTATAAAGGATTTTTGTGATATTGTAGGTACTAGTAGAAAATTTGAGTAAAGGTGATTTACCGAAGAATGACTACCCATGCATGAATGATCCAAGCCCAAGTTTTCATGGGACCTCTCGAGGTGCACCAATGACACATGATATACCAGCTCCTCACTCAATGAGATCTAGGAGGTCAGCAACATGGGCTCGCTCTAGAAGTTCCGATGATGGATATTCAAGGTAATATTTTATGTGCTCTGAATTTTATGTTTTATCTTACAAGCATAAGTAGGCAACAATGAAAATTAGTCCATATATATATGTTGATTCACCCTTTGTGTTAAATTATTTTAGTGATTCAATTCTGAGATGTGCATCAAGTGATTTCAAGAAACTGATGGGTCGACGCATTTTTGTGTTTATAGTTGGTGGCGCAACTCGGTCAGAGGTATTAATTATTCCTCATTTACCATTTTATTTAATCTTCCCCGTAGTTATATATCAATCCTTTTGTATGGGGATTTTGAGGCTTCTTTTCCCTGAATACAGTGAGTGATTAGAATTATTGGCTATAGACACCAAATGTATATATTACAATTACATGCTCAATGATGAATATCCTCAGATACAACAAAGAGTTAATCAACGATTTGGTCCCTCAATTATTAGCGAACTGTCAATGTAGTCCATCAATTTCTTTTGATATCTCATTTCTTTGTTTTCTGATTTCTCAGTTACGTGCTTGCCACAAGTTAACCACAAAGCTACAGAGAGAAATAGTGTTGGGTTCATCTAGTCTTGATGATCCTCCACAATTCATTACGGTATGAAACTTCAATTCTTCTCCAGCTAACTATATATACCCGATCGATGCCTGATAGGGTCTCACTTGTGTTTCCTACAAGCACTGATGTGGAGTTTTCTTACTGTTGCAGAAAGTGAAGCTCTTAAAAGCTAATGAACTCTCACTGGATGATCTGGAGATCTAGGTAAAAATGGTTGCTACATCTTGATTTGCACTTATTTTCTCCCACCTAGCTAGCTTTTCATCCCAATTGTAATTCTTCCCTTCTCCATTTTTTGACACCTTCCATGAAATCCTGGAGCGTTGCCAGTGTAGTTTGTGGGCATATAACATTAACAATGACATAGGTACTAGCCGTATTGTAATCGATTTTTTCTGTGCTGTTATGGTATGTATTATAATAACTAGTTCTTTTACGCGCTTTGCGTGAATGAAATAATGCCCAATGATTATTTTTAAATAATCATTTCAAAGTATATCAAGCAATATTTTATTGGAGATGTTCATGCATAGGTAAATAAATATTGAATTTGTTTATTTAAATCAGTAATTTAAAGTATATAAATGCAAAATAATATATGAGAGATTGACTTTATTGTCACTAAAACAAATATTTGCAACTTTATAATAACGCTAATCTAAATAAATATTACTTTTAGTTTAAATTTCTCTAATTTTTCTTAATTCTTTTTTCGGTAGCATTGTCATTGTCTTCCTCTTTAGTACATGTCCTTTTTTTTTATTGGTAGTGTGTTAGTGCAGTTGGGTTACTGATGGTAGCATAGATGGATACATCGTGCAATGAGATTATGGTGTAGGAAGCTTTAGAAAGCTTTAAATTTGCTTTGTTGTGTATATGATGAGATCTTAGTTGTACTATTAACTCTTCATCTTACAAGTACCTATTGATATTTAGTAGTGGTAATTTTTTCCCTACGTTTCATGTAATGCGGTGCTATTTTCGTAAATGATTGGACATCGAAGTGCAAGTAAAATGTATTACAAGTGCATGTAAAATGTACTATAGGTGCAAGTAAAATTTACACTGATCATCCAAACTAAGTGCACCTGACGTTATAATTAGGTGCACATAGTTTTAAGTAGTTGTACCTAGGTGTAAGAATGTTTGCGGGTGATTTCACGGGTACTAACTATCCGTTGAGCTCCCCGCAAGAACAAAATCGATGTCAAACAGAGCGAACTCAGATCAATGAATGTTAACAAGACAAATTTATATGCACTTATAGGTAAAAGTAAGTGCATATGTAAGTGATTTTACCTGCAACTTTTACTTGCAAAGGTGCACCAACTACTTGCACATATAACACATTTACATGCACCAAAGTTCGAGTTATTTACAAAAATGTCACCGTGTCGTTTTTTAAAAATTACATTTGATTCGTTGATCTGTACACGGGGATGACGCTGATCTATTCGCATTTCCTTCCTGGGCGCTTATTCGCACAAGAGTGCGACCCTAAATATATACGGAGTATAACATATTTTGTATTATAACTTTGATATTTAATTAATATAAAAAGAAGATAATGGACAATGTAGGGAATATAATAAATTAATAAATTTGAAGGTAATGAATCGTTGAATTGTAGAAAATAAAGATAATATAATTAATGAAATTATATCTCTTTTTAAAATTTTTTATAATGAATAATTTTTTTTAAATGAAGACATTATAGACATCTAATTCTAAATTAATTAAATGCATGTATTATTTTTTGTTGTAGCTACTTTATTTAATTTAATAAGAGTAATAAAGTGGCGACATACTTTTCATCAACAATAATGAAATCATTGTTTTTTTTTTTTAATTTACACTCATTGAGAAAAATTGTTTAGAGAGTTTGTCAATGACAATTATTACAATTCCTGTCAATAGAGGATGATAATAAATAATTCAAAATATATAGTTACAATAGATATTGTTATAATGATATAATAAAAATTAACTTACAAATTTCTTTAGAAGTTTTCATGCATTTGATAAAATTCTGATGTATGAACTTGTTCAATTGGAGCCAGTGGGATGTCAACGTTGTCAATTCGTTAGAAAATGGTCCAACCGTTTTAGAGTCCAAGTGTAATTGTATTTATGATTAACAACTTTGTAGTTAAGTCGCGTAGGCATGACAATTTTGTGAGAACAATTTTGTCCGATAAAAAAAAATTAGTTTAATATTTGTAAAGTAATGTACAATTGTACCCTTATAAAAATACATACAAAAAATATTAATACCATAACGACCTAAATCATACCAATAATGCAAAATTATAATTGAAATATTAAGTTTTGTTCTGATCTAAATAATCAAAAGAAGATTACTTAAACGAAAAAAAAAAAAAACTTAACCTAACTTTGTTTTTTTATTTTTTATTTTAATTTTTAAATGCATAAAAATCAAATGATTTTAAAGTTCTTGATTTATAATCTTTGATGCTTAACTTTGAAAATGTTATGTATTTAGCCGGACTAATTATTTGAACAAAGTTTATGTTAAATTTTATATTATATATTTTTATAAATATATTTTAACATATTCGTAGTATATGTTTAACAATTATGCCAACTCTAATTGGGATGGAGTTCGAACCTAAGACCTTTTTTTTTATGGAAATTAATGAATAAGTTTGATAGTGTTAATACACGTGGACCTAATCTTCCAAAAGTCCCCTCATCCTGGTCCTTAGATTAGTATTTATAGCATTAATCGGTGTCGGCATGCAACACATGCGTCCTCAACGTATCATCACATATGACTAGCCTGTTGGTCACACTTAGCGATGACACGTGTCTCCTTCCTAACACCGACGCTAAGGTAAAGGGATCGGGAAAGTGACGGCTCGGGTGAAGCGGTCGGGAAGAAAGGAGCGGCCGAGACGGCTTGAGCAAGAGCAAACGGTCGAAGCAACTCCCCGATCAAGCAAATCACACGTGGCGACATCGGTCGGGATTTATCCTACCAAAGTTAAAATAATAAATAGTTAACGGAATATTTCGTTACTAATGTTTATACTAACGGAATTTAAGTTATTTATTTAAGGGAAGAAAATAATATAATAGAGATAAATAAAGAAAATTATTTAAAAAAAAATACTAAAATCAAAATAATATGAACCATTCATTTTAATAAACAATACTATCTATATTTTTCTTTTTTTGTACTAGTTAATGGTCTAACATTATTGGCTCTTATTAGAATTCTATTATATGTAGATAAATAATACTAATAAGAATTTTCCATCAATAGTTTCCCGGAGAACAAATTTCCATTTATATATGTAGAGTACATATCACACTGATGTGTGGTTGATTTGTCATGCATGATTAAAGGTGGCATAACAGCCACATAGTTCTTGGCTTGTGTCGAAATGGATTTTGGGTTTTTTTTTGCAGTACTTATTTCAATGTTAACTTTGATTCTTTAGTATGATTTGTGTATTTTTTTGCTCTATTGTGTGCATTTTGGTATGTTTTGGGGGAATGCACACTATTACTTGTGTGTATACTTGAGTTGTAAAAGGTTAATACCCGTTTTGGTCCCTTGACTATTAGGTAATGCGCAATTTAGTCCCAAACTATTAAAAGTACCCAATTTAGTCCTCTAAGTTGTAAAATCATACCTAATTTGGTCATTCGTTACAATTGCCATCCATCTACCGTTATAAAGAGGGGCAACAACGTCATTTTATCTAAAGTCGAGGGACCAAAATGGGTATTAGCTATTAGCCTATTATTATCTAATAGTCGAGGGACCAAAATGAGTATTAACTTTTTTATTATTATTATTATTATTATTATTATTATTATTATTATTATTATTATTATTATTATTATTATTATTATTATTATTGGTACATTGTCTCCTACCACCATATTACTTCCTATTATTTTAAAAACTAAAATGTACCACAAAAAAAGCATGCGCAGTCTTTCTTAAAATTTTTTTTCTCTCTTGAGGCCCACAAAAAACCACTATCTCTCAGGAATTCAAAATTCACTCTGACCCATCTCAATCGTTATACCCTACACCACGACGCACACAGCACTGTGTGCCCCACGCCTCCCAAAACGATGTCGTTTTGTTAAGTTGTGTAAGAAGTTGACGCGATTATATACATTATGGTGTATAATTATGTTCTTTTTTATACAATTATGTACATTTTTATTCAGTTAATCGATCGGCTTAAATCCTACAAATAATAAATATAAAGAATAAATCTAATTAAAATAATACATATAATAATAAATCAATAAGAAAATATACGATGTGCACCATATTATTGCTTTTTTTTTTCTTTTAATATTGGGACAATGTCTCCTGCCACCATATTATTGTTTTTTTTTCTGGTGACGAGAAAAATTCGCAATCATTAGTTTATATGTGCACAAAAATCGAGAGAGTGCTGACAAAAATCGAATTCTATAATGATCTTCAAATAATGCTCCACTCACTTAACCACTCTTTTGTCCTTTCGGAACATAATGATATCTTTTGATGATTTGATTTGCAGTGAAATTATTGTGATACTGGACGGACTTGGATTGTTTGAAAGAAATCTTGTGAAAGTACATAAGATCCACATGCTTGTCTTGATTAGGGGTGTGCAAACATCGGTAAATGTTTGGTTAACCGACAAAGTTCGGTTAACCATTTTTAACCAAGCTTTTTCAGCTCGGTTAATGGTTAAAGATTTTTTAAAATTTTGGTTAACGATTAATTCGGTTCGAAATTGTCGCTTAACCGAAATTATATATATTGTTTGTATATATTTTCTTATTGATTTATTAGTTTAATTAGATTTATTATTTTTAGGATTTAATCGACCGATTAACCGAATAAAAATGTACATAATTGTATAAAAAAAAGTATATAATTGTACACCATAATGTACATAATCGCATCAACTTCCTACACAACTTAACAAAACGATGTCGTTTTGGGAGGCGCGGGCGCACAGTGCTGTGTGCGCCGTGGTGTAGTGTATAACGATTTAGATAGATCAGAGTGAATTTTGAATTCATGAGAGATAGTGGTTTTTTGTGAGCCTCATGAGAGAAAAAAAAAAATGAAAGAAAGACTGCGCATGCTTTTTTGGGGTACATTTTAGTTTTTAAAATAATAGAAAGTAATATGGTGGTAGGAGACATTGTACCAATATCAAATAATAATAATAATAATAATAATAATAATAATAATAATAATAATAATAATAATAATAATAATAATAATAATAATAATAATAATAATAATAATAATACCCATTTTGGTCCCTCGACTATTAGATAATAATATCTAATACCCATTTTGGTCCCTCGACTTTAGATAAAATGACGTTTTTACCCTTCTTTATAACGGTGGATGGATGACAATTGTAACGGAGGACCAAATTGGGTATGATTTTACAACTTAGAGGACTAAATTGGGTACTTTTAATAGTTTGGGACTAAATTGCGCATTACCTAATAGTCAAGGGACCAAAATGGGTATTAACTCGTAAAATGTACAATCAATTCACTGGGATCTAGCACCATAAGAATGCGCACAAAGATATAACTAAATGCATAAATCACCAACAAGGTTGAAAAAATTGCTAAGCGCCCTCTACGCGCCTGGGGGTTCTAGGGCGCCTAAAGCGATTAATCAGGCGCCTAGATCCAATTTTTGCAACACTGGTCACCAAACAATGCATACCGAATCAAACAAATGCACACTATGCGGTAACAACTCAAATTCTTTCCTAACACATGCTCAGCCCTACTCCGTAGCTAAACATCACACTCTCACTGGAAGAAAAAAAAAAATGAAAAAAAGGGAGCTCTAGACTGACACTCGAAGAAAAAAAAATAAAAACTGAAAGTTAACTTGCATTTGGCAAACCCATAAAAAAATGAACACTTAGCTTGATAGGTTTTGCTATCAGGAATGGATATCAAAGTCATTATTATTGTTTGGTTGATAGATTTTTAAAATACTATTATGAATTTTGATTATCCCTTAATTGAAAACCCCATTTCATAATAAAATAAGGGTTTCATTTCATTATTCCTCCACAGCCTAATCATTCCCATACCACCCTACCACCGAACATGCAAAATATTTTCACCAAAACTCATTACCATGACCAAATATTTGATACTCATTCTGATTCTGATTTTCATGTGCGAACCAAACACATCCTTACAATGCACCAAACAAATGCACACACTATACATAAGAAATACAAAGTTACAAACTATACTACTCACATGTGGCGAAAACTCCCTAAAATGCACATAACGTACCAAACAACTGTACAAAATGAACAACACCTAACGCATGACACTGATATACACACAATGAACAACATGGTTGCACACAACAACAAAACCCCCAACCCCAAAAAAACGACACACATCCACAACTTTCAAAAAGCACATAATAAAATGGAATGTACACACAGAGGTGGAAGAACCCTAATACACCAAAATATTACTCCTACAATCATGCATAAACTCTCAAAAATAATAATTAAAAGATTTTAAATGCACTAAATATTACTAAACCACTCCTACATAAATAAATAAGCAATAAAATCAGATCAAATAATACCGTCCAAGATCAAAGGCCATAATTAGTGCTCACGTACTCATGAGAACAAATGCCAAGAAAGAACTGAAAATCAATTGCAGCCGTCTATGTGTCCAGACTTAATGGATCAAATGGAATTTAAAAAAAAAAAAGATGTGATGATATTTTCGTAAATAATTCAAACTTTTGTGCAAATAACATGTTTTAAAAGTGCAAGTAACTCGTACAAGTGAGCAAGTAAAAAGTTCAAGTAAAATAATTTAGAAGTATAACCATTTTCAATTAATAGTGCAAGTAATTTATCTTTTTAACATTGATGCACCTAATAATATTAATGTATTTCACATTGGCGCACTTAATGATAACATTTGGTGCAACTAATGATAACATTAGGTGCACTTAATACTGATGCTCAATGTAAATTATTTGCTACACTTTTAATACATTTTACTTGCACTTAGATGCACTATATGAAACTATTAGTTACATTTTTAACACAATTTACTTGCACTTTAAAATTCATTATTTACAAAAATGTCATGGTGTATTTATAAAAGAACAATGTTTTTGATCCGTTAGATCTGGACATGTGGACGGCTGCGATTAGTTCTCAATTCTCTCTTGGGCAGTTAGTTCTCATGCACCTAATCCGACTTTTATATATATATATATATATATAGTTGCGTTCATATGAAAACCATGCTTTAGGTGAGAACTAATGAATGAATGCATTGCAACTACTCCAGGGTCTCCATTCGCCCTCTAGGCATGGCTAGAGTAATTGCGGTGCGTTCAATCATGAAGTAAATTCGATGCATTCAAGCAGTAGTTTGCATGTTCACAATCCTTGTCGTCGTCGTCGCTGGCTCTGGAATTGGGAGAGCCGCCTCTCTATCTCCGTCGCCGCCGTTGCGGTTGCTATCTCTCTTCCCCAACCTGTTTCTTAGCTGAACAACCCTTACAAGTGTTGCATCTGTAATAACCCCTGCACACACACACATATATAAATGCAAAATCTATAAACCAAACAATCAAAGGAAAGGACGGAGGATGTATATATGAATTCAAGAATGAGCTGAGATGTTGAAAACAAGCTAATTAAGTGAAGTACGTACTAGCTATATAAATTGAAGCATGTGCTCCATCTCAAAGTCTAAACTGATAGTTGGGTTGCACATTAATGGTTATATGTTCAACATGTCCCATCGTGTGCGGTGGGTTCCAAGCAACACGTGGACTCCATGACCTTTAACATGGCTCTGATACCAAATTGAAGCATGTATCTCAATTACAAGTTTAAGCTGATAGTTGGATTGCATGGTTATATGCTCAACAATATATACCTGCGATGAGGAGATTCTTTAATGGCTTTTTGGCCATATTTTCTCCAGGACCAACTATCTAAAGGAGGCCCCTCGCTCTTCCGCTTTCTGCCATCACCCTCTCCAAGTTTCACTGTTACCACAACCTTTTGCGCCATGCTCCTAACACATGCAATTCCATCACGACATTATATATAAAAACCTCTTTTATTTCCAGAGCTAGTGATGACGACGACAAGGATTGTGAACTAGTCCCCATTCCATGACCATTGCCAAGGATTCCCAGAATAGGAGTGGATAGACAAGAAGAAGAAAAAGCTTTAAAAAATAAAATATATGAAATTATCTTTTTGTCCTTAAATTTAACACTTTGTGGATAAATTTTGACGGAAAATCAAAATGATTAACATTTTTAAAATTGAAGACTTAATTGGGTAAGAAAAATTATCGAGGACCAAATTGATAACTTCGCAATAGTTGAGGGACCATTTCGGTAAATAAACTCTAATAAATATTAGAGTTATAACCCATTTTGGTCCCTTGACTATGGCTTATTCTCAATTTTGCATTCTGACTTTTAATTGCACCCAATATGGTCCCTTAACTTTTAAAAATTACCCCAATTTGATCCTCCATTACATTTTCCATCAATTAGGCATTAAGTTCGGGGGTATTTCCGTCCATTCATCTACTACAAGCCTATACTAAGTGCTAATTCCCCCGTCCTTCTCCACCACCGCCATACCACGTCGGAGAGAGAGGTCCACCCGCTGCTTCGCCGGAGTGCTCTGTTCTGCCGGAAGGGAAGAGCAACTCGCCGGAAAGTCAGGGAAGCCACGAAGCTGTCACACTACAAGAAGCTGTTGCCTTGCTTCACCGTGGCTGCCGTCGATCCGCCGGAACTGCTATTCGCGACTTGAGAGTTCGCAACAGGTGGGCGATCAACAAATTGGCGATGACGATCAACATCCCTGACTCCAACGGTGGACTCCGATTGCCCATGCAAGGCCTCGCTCGATGGGGGCGGTGGTCAACGAAATCGGGTATTTTCGATTTTAAGAAAAGTTTTGATCTTGGATCTTTTGCTCTGCACATGCGATCTTTAACGTTAATGGTAGCTTTCCACCGGTGCTCATTGGAGCTCCGGTAAGTATTGGGGGACTAGGTGAACAAAATGTGTATCTGAGATCATGGTTGTGTTCAAGCTGCAGTTTTATGCATGCAACTTAGGTACTACCTAAGCGATGGAAAATGTAACGGAGTTTTGCAATTTTCCATGTCCCCCAACTCTCATTCTATGAGCCAAAGAAATCCAAGAAACAATATATCATATTTAGCAAAAAAAAAGAAGAAAAAAAAAACAAGTTCAGTCGTGGTCGTCGTCCCGATCAACCCAGAAGGACATGACAGAAGTAGAGTTGCAGCAGGAAGCATGTAGAAAACGACAGACGAGCGTGATCTTCGGTGTTGTTTTGTTTCCAAGAATGGTTTTTCCTCCATTAAGGAAAAGATGGCGACGGTCGTGAAAAGTGAATACGACAAGAGAAAGTTGGTTGCACAACATTATGGTTGGAATAGCTTTGGTTCTGGTCTCTCTTTTGTATATGCTAGATCCTCTCTTCCGACAAGTCGGACAGAATGCGATGTGGGGTATCATGACCGTCGTCGTCGTCTTCGAGTTTTTCGCAGGTGAGAATGGTCGGAAACTTGAGTTAGTTTAGTTTTTCGGCGGTTTCGATCTGGTTTTCTTTATTAATATAATGTTTTTTTCGGGTGCAATTGATTAATATAATGTTGTGTACGTGTCTGTAATGATGATCAGGTGCGACACTGAGCAAAGGGATAAATCGAGGAATCGGCACCATCGTCGACGGCTTACTAGGATGTTTTGCGGCGGTCTTGGCCGATCAACTTCCCGAAAATACTTGAGTTGACGAAAATACCCCCGAACTTAACACCTGGTTGATGGAAAATGTAGCGGAGGATCAAATTGGAATAATTCTTTAAGGGGTCGTTTGGTTCACGGAATGTCAGATTACCTTAAGGAATGTTAGATTGCTGGGAATGTTAGATTACTGCGAATGTTAGATTCCTGTGTTTGATTAAAATTGGGGTATGTAATATAATCATGTTTGGTTTAGGGTTATCTTTTATTCACACACTATAATATCCTTAACATATTTTCATATATTTTAATAAATTTAAAAATTAAAATAAATAAATAAGATAACGATATCATATATAATTACATGATTTTAAAATATGAACTAAAATATTGAACTTGAAAAACAAAATTATTTTATATGCTAACCTAACATAATACAAATAAACAAATATATAATTACAAAAATAATTATATATACATGTGTGTGTAATAAACTAACATAACCAAGGTTATCTTACATAACCTTAGAAATTGAAGGGAATCACATTCCCTTCAAAATCCTATGTGGAGGGAATGTGACATTCCTGGGGAATGTTAGATTCCCTGAGATAATGTGAACCAAACATAGATATGTGAGCTTTGGAATGTCACATTCCCTTGGTTATGTTATATAACCTGAACCAAACGCCCCCTAAAGTCAATGGACTACATTGAGTGTAATTAAAAGTCGAAATACAAAATTGAGAATGAGGCATAGTCAAGGGACCAAAATGGGTAATAACTCTAAATATTACATTAATGTTCAAAAACAAATACAGGTAGGTGTGAGTGAGTGAGTCATTGAGCAAAGGCTTCCGCTTTTCGTTTCTTTGTCCCCCCTACTAACCTCTTAACATATGCAATGTATCCATCAACATCGAATTTCCTCTTGCAACCTGCGTAGTTCATATACCGAATTTTCCCAAAAACCGCTCGCTCTCGCCAACCCTAAATGGTAAACCAAACCAAAGTGTATCAATGTATAGTAGGCCAAACATATGCTATCAAATCAATGATGATTGATGATGGCCCAAGCATCTTGACACCTCCGTGACTCTCTTTGAGGGAAGGTACCGAACCCCGATAGTAGGGTATTGACTCTTTGTTCTACAATTGATTAAAAAAGTATATTGAACAGATACTACACTGTAATAGAGTTGATAGTACTCAAAAAATCAATTGACTCTTTGTTCTACAACTGATTAAGAAAGTATATTGAACAAATACTACACTGTAATAGAGTCGATAGTACTCAAAAAAGCAATTGACTCTTTGTTCTACAACTGATTAAGAAAGTATATTGAACATATACTACACTGTAATAGAGTCGATAGTACTCAAAAAATCAATTGACTCTTTGTTCTACAACTGATTAAGAAAGTATATTTAACATATACTACAGTGTAATAGAGTCGATAGTATTCAAAAAATCAATGATGAAACATGTACATTATGCTTTCGAGTGAAAAGGAAAACTCGCGACTTTAGTCGGCAAAGGACTGTAAGAAGGTAAATGAGTCTAAGTTGTCTATAGTTGACTAGCTCAGACCATAAGAAGGTAAATCAGCCTAGGTAAACTCGTGACCTTATAGTTACAAGTTTGTATTCTTAGTCATCTTGACTAGAGTTGCTGATGATGCATGTCCATTTATTAAAATCGTAAGAGGGGATGGGGTTGAAAAGAGAGCAAGAGTGGTTGTGTATTTAGTGAAATATTTTTCTGGAGTTATAATAAGGTAGTAATGTCAAACCTGGTCGTGTACGCCACAAATAGACCACATGCACCCCACATAACCATTTGGATCCCTTCCATCTATTTCATACTGCACGTGAAATCCCCAATAATTCAGATCTTTTTCATTCATCACAACAACAGGCAATAATGTGGAGCGTTATGCTGTACAAATGGTGCACACGGTTGTAAAAACGACGTCGTTTTGATGTCCGACTTTAAAAAAAAAAATGGTTTCGATTGCCGTTAACGGCAGTTATATTGTGTATAATTTGAACTATATAGTTCATTCATTTTGGATATATAGTTCATTCATTCTAGATATATAGTTCATTCATTTTGGATATATAGTTCATTCATTCTAGATATATAGTTCATTCATTTTGGATATATAGTTCAAATTATGCACAACATAACGCCGTTAACCGTAATCGAAACTGAATTTTTTTTTAAGTCGGACGTCAAAATGACGTCGTTTTTGCAACCGTGTGCACCCAGCACCATGCACAGCATAATTTGCCCAATAATGTGTGCCGGATAATTACCTTGTCGTTCAAATATATTGCTGTTGCTAGAGCCTCTTCCGGCCCACTTGTCCATTCCAGGATCTTTTTTGCCCAATACATTCTGCATAAACCATCAAATTCCTTTCATTTTTCATATTGTAAATATGTAATATCATTCCACTTTTTTAGGTTTATTAAAGAAAAAAATGAGTTAATTCTATTTTTGGTCATAAATTTATAGGTGATATAGTCCACTTTTAGTTCTTTATTTTCAGAATATCCCCTTTGGTCCTATATTATTGTGATATGACCATTTTTTGTCCTCCATCAACAAAACTGTTTATATATTATTAAATACAAGAGCATTTCGGTTTTCAATTAGAAAATTTTACAAAAATAAAAAATCAAATACTCTGTAAAAAATATAACGGGCCAACTCACTTTGTATAAAAATGACTAAAATGCTCTTGTATTTAAGGTATTTCAACGATTTTATTGACAGATGACCAAAAATGATCATGCCACAATAATACTAGGACCAGAGGAAATGTTATGAGGAAAAAAAAAAAAAGGTCACCTATAAATCTAGGACCAAAAATAGAATTAACTCATAAAAAACAATAGCAAAAGTAATGGACTAATCGAGAAAGTATCCGTTTACTCCACAAGCAACAAAATAGGCAAATGATTTAAGGAGAAGTTACTTGCCTCATAAAGCCATGCATTTTCCCATAATGAACCATCTCTAACTGAGAGGCATTCCAAAGCTGAAACTCCCCATCAATAGCATATATATATATCAAGTAGATAACACTAAATTCACACAAATATAATCTAAATATGCATAGCATACTACAGTATTGAGTGCAGAGCATATGAGCAATATCTTACAGGGTCTGCAGTTTGTGCCTTCTCCAATTGCTCTCGACTGTAAAGATAACAAACAATTAGTTAAAGACTTTCAGGACAGAAACAAATTACTACCTATAATTCATT